CACCGCGTGTAAAAATAGATTTTAAACCGTAAGGAATATAGCTTTTTAGTAGAATTTGTATGTTATACTTATTTTGTTTTAAATGGTTAAAAATATAGGTATAATGCAGTGGAACTGCCGCGGTCTTTTACGAAATATTGATGATGTCAACTTTTTTCTCGATGAGCTCCAGCCTGTTGCCATCTGTTTACAGGAGACTCATCTTAATGAAACACATACACAGGTATTACGGCGACATCAGGTTTTTAGAAAGGACCGTGTTTCTTGCAACAGCTCTTCTGGTGGAGTAGCTGTGGTTGTGCAGAGTGGTATTGCCTGTGCTCCTGTCCCTCTTGCGACCCACTTAGAGGCAGTAGCAGTTCGTGTTCTGCTTGACCGCCTAATTACAATTGTCTCGCTTTACCTTCCACCAAACCTTCCAGTGCATGTACATGACCTGCAAGGACTTGTGGGCCAACTCCCGCAACCTTTTTTAATCTTAGGAGATTTTAATGCACACCACCCCATGTGGGGCAGTGGTCGTCAAGACTCCCGTGGTGGTGTCATAGAACGTTTTTTACTGTCATCTGGCCTTTGCCTTTTAAACAAGAGACAACCGACTTTTTTTAGTGCACCTCATAATACTTTTACTTCCATTGATCTTTCCATATCATCACCTGCTTTACTTCCTTGTTTTTCTTGGAAGGTTTTAGAAAATCCTTTTGGTAGTGACCATTTTCCTGTAATTTTAGAAAGTTCAGTATCCCTTCCTTCTCTTCGAGCTTGTGCTCCCAAGTGGAAATTAGATAAAGCCGACTGGTCTTTATTTTCTCTGGAGGCAGCCGTCGATCCCGCTGTTTTTTTAGCTATGTCTCCTGAGGAAGCGACTCTTTACCTTACTGAAAAAATTATATATGCTGCTTCTCTGTCAGTTCCCCGAACTTCTGGAAATATTCCCAAGAAATGCAGGCCTTGGTGGAACAAGGACTGTACGACCACCATAAAAGCTCAGAATAAGGCTTGGGGAAGGTTTCGGCGGTACCCGACTGTTCAGAACAAGATTAAATTCAAACAGTGCAAAGCAAAAGCTCGTTGGACACGAAAACAAGCCAAGAGGACCTCATGGGTAAAATATGTATCCTCTCTGAACAGTTTTGTTCCTGCAAAAGAGGTATGGGATCGTGTTCGGAAAATTCGGGGTACTTACCACTCCTTCAGTATTCCCCTTTTTCCTTCATCATCCCCATCACTAAAAGATCAGGCTGACATTCTTGCTGATCATTTTCGAGAGGTCTCCAGTTCTTCAAATTACAGTACTAAATTTAAAAAGTTCAGGTCTTTGGCAGAAAAACAGCCAATTGATTTCTCTGGAAGTGATACTGGTTACAACCGGCCGTTCACAATGTATGAACTTGAAATAGCCCTTGCAGTAAGGAAGCAGTCAGCACCTGGCCCAGATATGATTCATTATGAACTGCTGAGGCACTTGTCGGCTGAATCCTTGATGAATTTGTTGTCTTTCTTTAATCATTTATGGGCAGCTTCTTGTTTTCCACAGTGCTGGAAGCAAGCACACATCATTCCCATCTTGAAGCCTGGCAAAGACCCTTCCCTACCAGCAAGTTATCGGCCTATCGCTTTGACTAGTTGTCTAGGAAAAACTTATGAACGGCTTATAAACAGAAGGCTAGTATACATTCTAGAACAAAAGAAAATTTTCGATAAAAACCAGTGTGGTTTTAGAAGAGGTCGCTCAACCTTGGATAACCTTGTCCGGTTAGAGACTTTTGTTCGTGAGGCTTTTGTGAACCGGCAGCATTGCCTTTCTGTCTTTTTTGATTTACAGAAAGCTTATGATACGGCATGGCGGTACGGAATACTTCAGGAGCTGTATAGGTGCGGTGTTCGAGGTCGCATGCTGCGTTGCATAAAGGACTTCTTGACAGACCGTTGTTTTCAGGTCCGCCTGGGATCCACGCTCTCGGATGTTTTTACACAGGAAAACGGCGTCCCACAGGGAGGTGTCTTGAGTGTTACCTTGTTCGCAATTAAGATCAACAGCCTCGCTGCAGTTATACCATCATCAGTTTTTTATTCATTGTACGTAGACGATGTCCAGATTGCTTTCTCCTCATGCAACTTGTCAATTTGTGAGCGCCAATTGCAGATAGCAATAAATAGGATGAGTAAGTGGGCTGATGAAAATGGTTTTCGGTTTGCACCAGAAAAAACAGTGTGCGTGCCTTTTTCATTACGTCGGGGGTTGTCGCTAGATCCCAGCTTGCAGATGAATGGCACTGACATAACCGTTAGGCATGAACACAAGTTTTTGGGTGTTATTTTTGATAAGAAGCTCACTTTTCAGCCCCATCTAAAGGAACTGAAGCGAAAGTGTCTTAAATCTGCCAATGTTCCCAAGGTACTTGCACACGTCTCCTGGGGTTCTGACAGGAGATGCCTCCTGCGACTCTACAACTCGCTGGTTCGTTCCCGTCTCGATTATGGTGCAGTTGTATATGGCTCGGCACGACCGTCATCTTTAAAAATGCTGGATCCTGTGCATCACCTTGGGCTTCGACTTGCCACGGGGGCCTTCCGAACGTCGCCTGTTCCGAGTTTGTATGCAGAGACGCACCAAATGCCACTAGAAAAGCGAAGACAGTTCCTCAGCCTATGCTATAGTTATAAAGTCAAATCTGATCCTGAACACCCATCCTATCGTTGCTTGCAGGTATCTCCTTTTTCACGTCTTTTTGAGAACAAGCCAAGTATAGTACGGCCTTTATGCCTCCGCATTCAATACATGTCTACATCCCTGCAACTTGCGCTCCCTGAGCGTAGCTTGATGACGAGAGTTCGAAGCATTGCTCCTTGGAAGGCGGTTCACTATACCTGTGACTGGTCGCTAGCGAAATACAATAAGCGATCTGTTGCACCACTAGTTCTTCAGCAAGAGTTTATGGCCTTGCAAGCTAAGTATAAGGACTATGCACAATTCTTCACTGATGGTGCAAAAACTCCACACTTTGTCGGTTCAGCTGTATATTCAGAACACTTTGTAAAAGCTCGACGGCTTCACTCTGTTGCCAGCATTTTTACTGCAGAACTTTATGGTGTGCTCATGGTTATTGAATATATATTAGGCAACAACATCAAAAAAGCTATTTTGTTTGTGGACTCCCAGAGTGCTATCCTTTCTCTCTGTTCTCTCAATGATTCTAAGAATCTGCTCGTGCAACAAGTACAGGCAGAGTTAAACCTGGCTTTCCAAATGGGATACAATATCAAGCTGTGCTGGGTACCAAGCCATGTGGGAATTTCAGGTAATGAAAAGGCGGATAGGCTAGCAGCCTCCGTTAAGGATGCTCTGGAAACACCTGTTCAGCTGCCTCAAGAAGATTTTAAACCGGTTCTCAAAAAAGCAGTTTATTATGCCTGGCAGCAAGACTGGGACAAAGAAATAAATAATAAGCTACATGTTATCAAACCACGTTTGGAGTTATGGGAGAGTTCGCACCATAGAGACCGTCGCCATGAAGTCTTAATGTGTCGCTTGAGAATTGGACATTCACGTATCACCCATCGACATCTTCTTTGTGGTGAGGACACCCCAGTCTGTGAGCATTGCGGTGAATCGCTAACTATACTGCATATTCTATGGCACTGCAAATTTTTTGATCAGGAACGCCGGACGAGTTTTCCTTTACTTTCTGGATATCTTCCATTTCATCCAGTCTTCTTACTGGGAGATGAACCTTTAGTTCCTTTTGATCACATTTTAGATTTTCTTAAAAAAACTGGCTACCTGCACCAGTTATAGATCCTCTGCATAGTGCATTGCATAGTAATTCCTTCCTTCTACTATAGAGTCTTTTAATTATCTCTTTGGCGCAGCATGGCCTATGTTGCTTTTTGCGCCATTAAACACCTAATAATCAATCAACCATCTATATATTATGAAACTGGCAGGTGGTTGTAACTGGTCTCACAGTCCTCCAAAAAGCAGGAGTTCCCACTACCCCAAAAAATGTCTTTCATACCTAGTGCTTCGCTTTCTTATGGCAGTGGTTACATTCTAAGACAGTATGAGCATTTATTAACGTCACCGTGTTCATTGATCTCTGGAAGATTACAAGCTTTTGCCCTGTTATTCTATTTTCATGTCGTCTTTGTCACTTTCTGAAAATATTTGCATCGTCGGTGGAAATCTTGTCTGTTGGGCCCATGCAGAGAATAACAGCTCCTGATGAAGCATTTATCGAAGGTGACAACAGTGTTTGGGTTACTTGAACCGGACATATGACAGACATCCTCTGCATACTTGGTCAGCTGACACAGCTCCCAACCTCCGAGAGGACAGGGTAGTGCATAGAACCAGGAGGCTCATGGGTTGCATCCCAGAGTCACACCGACTGCATGTTTGTGACTCTTGCTTTAGTCTATACCGCAAGCAAGTTCATCTGCTTCTTGCGCAGCGTATTCAGTGACATCACGGTACCGAGCTCTGTTTGAAACGATAGTGTCTAGACAAAAAGGCTAGCTGCTTTTGTCTTTGCCCTCTGTATCGCTCTGATCAGAGCGAGCAATATCATTATCTGCCCCTGGCGCAGAAGAAGCAGTGTCATCAGGCTCAGGTGTTCAGGTGCCAGATGTCCGCGTCGTTTGGTAGTTTGACTCCTAGCAATAGCTGTCTTACCTTTTCTTCTTCCTTCGAAAATCTATCGGCTCTTTACAAATGAAGACTTGGCCGTCAAGAAAGGGGACAGGGAATGCCTCGAAGGTTATGTTATGTTTTATTGAAGAACAAGGAAATCTCGACCGAGATGTTGTCTCTGCTCTCCACCACCGCCGGTGAGCAATCAACAGCTGCGGAGCTTCGTCACGTTCGTCGAACACAAAATCACTCCCTCTTCCACGCACAAGCAGGCACATTTCACTAGTCTTTCTGGCCGTATAGGCTTTCAACTCATTTTATCAGGTTTACAATATTCTTCACGACTTGGTAAACACAGAAAGTCAGCTGAGAGAGTGAAGCTTTTAATAGAAACAATACACACAATGTCACATACTGCCTCTACTGCTGTGATGATGGAGATGAAGAAAACACGCAGACCAGGGCGTCGCTGCTGTGTCATGTTTAAGTGATTCTTTTTCTCTCCTTCCACTGAAGGCGTTACTTTTCCTACCGCTGCTTGTCCTGGGCGTTCTTTCTTTGGTTAACCGGTTACTAACAAGCATAGTGACTAACTCCGACAGGTACCAAAGAGTTTGCACTGAAGTTTGCAAGCTATGCACTGTCTTGTCGCCGGTCTCACTTAGGTGGCATGCTGAGGGCAACGGTGCGCCCCTGTACATCGTTGATGAGCGTGAAGAGGCCCGGTTCGCGAACCAGGAGAGTCTCGTTCGGAGCTAACACGTATTTGGTGCCCTGGACGTCTACCTTCGCAGAGCCGACCCTCTGCCAGAGAAACGTCTCAGTGTTCTCGCACTGGGAGTCGTGGCTCCCATTACCCAGGACGAGGGCCTTTGTCTGGTGCTTGCCCTCAAACAGGTCCCTGCATTGTGGGAGAAAACATGTTGAAATATAGTCACTGATAATAAGAAACGGTGATTGTTAGGAAGGTTGAGAGTGGAGGTCCAGATGTGATTACACATTTGTCCTAGGTCTACAGTCACCCCAGCTGTTGAAGAGCCTATGATTGGGTAGGGAGTTATTTACAACAAGCGGAATGTTTCAACATACATCTCCGCCCAAGCGCAGGGATGAGCGCTTTTCTCGTTAAATGGCTCTGATCATTATCAGTTCAAAAAGTTGTTAACATCCTTCCATATGGAAAAGCCTCATCTGACCACCTGCTTAATTTTCTCTTGGGCATTCGCAATTGAACTCAATATTTATGACGGTGATAATTTAAGAGATTACAGGGGCTGTTCTGAAGCTGAAGACGTCAGTAGTCAATTAGACTAGCAGTCTTCTTCGGTGCTATCTCGAGCATTTTTCCCAGGTGCTTGCAATTTAGTTTCTTCATCACGGGATCTTGATTATGTCGGGAGTCTACTATCGCTGCTGGTGTGGCATCATAAATTTAGTGTATCATCTCTCTGGCTACAGCAAAACTCGCGTCACAAACGGCGCATGTGGCTCCTTGGAACATTGTGCAATCAAAGGCTAATTTATTCTTTGGCTAGGGTGTGGTTCTGGTTAAAGAGGGGCATGCCTGGAAAATTTTAATTTTCCGCAAAACACTTTTTTTTAATGTCTTTTTTAATAGGTACTCCAACATCTGACGAGTGTTTTCACGAAGGTTTGTTTGTTTCTGTTTTCAGTGCCCCTTAAATCAAAGGTAGAGGCTTTGAATGCATTTTCCTCCTTTCCGTTTTTCGGGAAAATATTTATTCTAGTTCTGTTGTTTCAAATTGGAACTAAAGAAAAGAATCTTTCTTCGTTTTCCCAGACTGGAATTTATTGATAAATGTGTCTGCGGAATGTTATTTTTCCTTTATTGATATTTTAATAAAAAATGTAAAACCTTCGGAGATGTAGGAGGTTTAAACGTTATTTGTAGAACTGTGTTATTAGAAAAGTTTAGTAATTTCTACAATACATTTCTCACAATCGCGCACTTCAGATGTGTTTTCTTTTTTTTGTGTATCTATCGAGGAAAAAATGTTGGACGGGTTGACCGAGCGATGTTGGTGGGTCCTTGATTGGAATTACCATCCTTTCCTTCACAATCAGTGTACAAGGCTGAAACTTTGCGCTGCATATTTTATCTTGACTAGCATTCTACCCTGTTACTTACGCTCATTTTAAGCCAAGGGTTCGACCGCTGGCCCTCTTGAGTAGTGTCCTGCCCTATGACTCAGTAAACTCCTATGACATTAGTATGGCGCATTACCGAAGGCCACTCGGACTCTTTAGCGTTGCCACCAACCTCTTAGCGTTGGGTTGGCTCAGGAGGTTGTCGTGCCTCTGGAGCCACTGGTTCAAGTTGAAGGGCGGCGACAGCGTGGTTTCTGTGTTCTCGTCGTAGGCCGGCTTGCCCAGGAAGGACCCGGGTCCGGGCCGGTTTGTGCGACACTGCTCGGATCCCAGGAACTCGTTGATGAGGGGCACCAGGTCGTGGTAGAGGTCCTTACAGTACACCCACCGCTCGTGCAGCACCTGGCTGCACGTGTCGTCTGTGTAGAACCTGGGACCGGCATCGAGATGGACATTTCCTAAACGGAGAGGTCTCACGGAGAGCCTGCTAAGCACAACCTCCGCTATGGTAAAATTGGAACACAGAGATTCAAAGTGATTGGACACATTCACTTCAACCTTCCGGGCATAGTAAAAGGCGGCTGTTTGCTACTGAGTGGGTCGTACGAAAACGGGCTCTGCTGTTTATTTTTGCGGTGTCCATGCATTATGGGGCTACCGATGATGCGCGAGTTTTATGACATCGATAAATGACAGCGGAGGTGCTCATTCTGGCTTCTGCCCGGTTGTCTTTGAAAGTTAATATCTGTATCTGAACTTTTCTTTTTTTTGTAAATAGTGGTGTGAATCATTCGCTGTGTACCCTACTGTGCAGAAAAAAAGAGTGTGCAAAGTATTCCTCGGGCCTCAAAGTGGGACGCGTATCACTGAAAAAAAAAAAGGGGGGGGGGGGGGGGGGGTTAACACGCGTCGCCGTTATCCGCTAAAACGTCGATTCGCTCAAATGTCGCTGTTTGTTACTACGTCATTTTCTCATGTGATATGGACGACAAGATAAGACAGCGGTTCAGCGCCATGCACCGTCGTGCGTCTCCCGGTTCCCTGGGAAGCACGAGCACGCTCGCTCTGCGGCGACGGCTGTCGTGTTGTCTGCTTGTGCACGGCCGCTCTGAATAAGCGCTTGCGTTATGAAAAGAACGAAATTACACGTGTCTAAGCGCCACGCACGATGTTCGAAGCTTCAAGAAGCCTCCTGCTCGTCAGACTTCAATGTAATCGTGCGTTTGCACTTGCGAATTCGCGGCGGCGAGCGGATTTTTGAGCCGAGTGGTGAAGGTGAAATCCGCTCGTCGGCTGGCGGAAAATCTAGATCGGTCCGGGACCCATACCTAGATTTTCCGCCAGCAACGAGTCGATTTCGCCACCCGGCTCCAAATCGCGCTCACCGCCGGCGCGGATCCGCTCGCGAATTCGCAAGTGTGAACGCAACGTAATGGCCCGTTTACACATGAGGATTCCCGGGCTCATCCGTGCAGGCGGAAAGTGGAAGAGCCGGGTGGCGAAATCGACAGAAAATCGCCAGACTTTTAGAGCCGGCTGGCAGAAAATCTGGATACGGGTCCCGGGCTGATCCAGATTTTTCGCCAGCGACGAGTCGATTTCGCCGCCCGACTCCAAAGTCCACTTTCTGCCTGCGCGGATCCGCCCGTCAAACCGCAAGTATAAACGCGCCATTAGATCTACATTTCGCGAACGCAGAGCGAAAAATATATCCCTCCTCCAGTGCTGCCAACCTTTGAGGCCACTTGTTCCCCGAACTGTATCCGAAAATTCGCTAGATTTCCCTAGATTTTTGGAAAATTATTGTGATGTTTTAGTTTGAAAATAATGTCGGCGTTGTAGCTGCTGGGATTGTTGTAAATACACTACTTTCGTAAGAACTGAAGTATAGTATTGAAGACAACTTCTGAGATAGAATATAAGAGCAATTACGTTTCCGTGCAAAAATCTAAAACAAATGGCACTTTGCGCATTTCTCAATACCTGACTTTAGTTCATTTAAAATTTTCTAAGCAGAAAGCATGTGTACCCAGCATGCCACCTTGGTGTTGTTTCTAATCGTTTTCCTAAAATTTCTGTGTAAATATAGACAGCTCTAAAAACCTTTTGTGTTGTCACACACACACAAAAACAAAAACAAAAAAACAAAAAACGATTTGCAGTTTGCACAAATTTTACAAACAAAATAATACCTCCCCGAAAAAAAAAAATCCTTAGATTTGAAAAAAATCTTTTTTGTTTTCCCTATACGATGTCCGAAGTCCCTAGATTGAGGGGAACATCCCTCGGGTTGGTAGCACTGCCCTCCTCGAACCCTGCGCTCCGGAAGGCCGCTTTTCCGCAAGCTCGAAAATAACCTTTGACACATGTGATCCCTTGTCAACCAATGAGGAAGCTGAGGAAAAGGAAGGCGGTACTCTGGCTCTGGCATTTAGTCATGCTGTCAAAGCCAATCCCACAGGCTGGGATTGTCACGCGATCGTCGAGAATCGCGCACCGACGCACGGGACGCGTAATCACCTACGTGATATGGCTCCTCGTCCGCCGCGAAAGTGGTAGCTTTGCAAACGTCTCATTTGCAAGCTGCTACTTCTCAAAAGCAAGTCTGGCCGCCGTGGATGAAAAACGCTTTGCTCGAGTGGCAGTCTGACGACGTGGACCGTGTTTGGGCGCCGGTCTGGCAACACACGCCAGCAGCAAGATGTCGACGCCCAGAGCACGCGTACTTGGGACACCGACCTGAGACAGTCCTGTTCGTGGCTTGCACGTTCCCGTTCCACGACGAGTCCCACGGTGTCCGCGAGCCTCTGGGGCGAGTGGGCGATGCGCCCGGGCAGCAGGAACACTTCCCCTTCCCGGATGACCACGTCCTTGGCACGTCCGCGCTCGAGCACCTTGAGGACCATGTCCCCGCGGAGCATGTAGAAGAATTCCTCGCCTTCCTCGATGTGGTAGTCTCGCCTCACGTTTGGACCTCCTACGTAGAACACCTGCGCGAAGTCGGGATGATTGTATGCCAGCAGACGCGCCTACTATAGGTCCCTTGCCATCAGCCAATGACCAAACAGCTTTGGCACAGACCACGGTTGGACCACAAGGATTTGCTCCTTGATCTCTGTGAAAAACAACGGGGCAAAGTGTAGCTTCTGGATACTGCAATCGTTAGTCGAAGCCGGGTCCACCGTTTTACTTCGATTTCTCTAAAATAAATTCTGTGCGTGTGGTGTGTGTGAGAGAGAAAGAGAGTGGGAGGGAGATTTGGGGGGGGGGGGGGGGGGGGGGTAGGGGAATTTCACCCTTTTACCCTATTCCGACGGCACTGGTTCGGCTGTACTTTCTCAAGAAGTACACAGGAACGAACTAGCCAAGTAAATAACAATAATTATTTTAACCGTGATTTAAGTGCCGCTGATTTTACTGTCATGATTTCAACCGGGATTTGTCGAAAATATTTTTTATTTGGGTTCGGAGTCTCAATCGTTCCAAACTTTCAATGCAAGCAAAGTGTTCTTGTTTGTTTGTTTTTGGGAGCGAAAATTATATAATTATTATTTTAGAAGAAAAATGTTGGGGTGGAGAGAAGCAGAGTGTAGTATCCCCTGAGGTACAGTGCTAATCACACTTGCCTATGACGAGGGTGCGTGCGGCTTTCTCCGGTGGGCGCTCGACTGGTGGCATTCGCGGCAACTAATCTAGTCTCGTGGGGGCACATGGAACAACCCGCTCGAGGGCAGAGCGGTTTATACCGAGAGAGTTTGGCCAATGGGGCGAAGCTTGTTGCCCGCTGGAACCAGCGAATTTCCCGATAACACAAAATGGCGTTACTTTCTCTTTATTACTGAGAAATCGCATAGGATTCCCATGAGCCAGAGCCCCAAAATGGCAGACGGAAGTAGTTATCTCCCGTTTGTCGCCGACACACACCAGGCCAGCCTGATAAAACTTTGATGAATTTTAAAAAGCACAGCATTACAATATTTTTTTTTTCTCGATAGTGGCATTGGTGATAACCCCTCGGGGCTTTATTTTTGTTCCCTATTGATAATACTTTATTGGTGTTTGCAAAGAGCGCAATATCAGTACCCCGCGGTCGGCGCCCTCGTTAGAGCGGGCAGGACAACCCTCGAGCAGATTGTTACATGTTGACCACGCGACTAAATTAGTTGCCGCGAATGCGGCAACTAATTTAGTCACGTGGTCAACAAGATGACTGTCATGTGGGTGATCAACGTGGAACAGCAGAACGCGGCCAGATTTGGGATGCCCTAGTGCTCCAAACTTTTTCAGATATGAGCATTTTTCAGATATGACCTTTGCAATATTCATCTAAGAGAAACATTTGCGACTATCTTTATGTTGAAGTCTCTCACCCTGGAACTAGGGAACGTGCTTGCCACACCGTGGTAGCACCATAGCTAGAACTTAGGGATAGACAAATGTGATTAGCTCTGTACATGCACCAAATCGGAGAGTGTTACTTCGTCCATGTCCGAATCTTGCTCGTCATAATCAAAAACCTTGAAATATAGAAAAAAGATTTTGTGTTCTTCGTTATTTTATTAATCCGTATCTCAAGGTTTTAGATTATGATGTTTCCTTACCAGCTCGCTTGTATTCTTTCGCTTCTTGTTACTTTTCAAGCCAACTACAAAAAAGAATGACGGGCAGACACGTATACACCTCCTGTCCGCTTGTCGGAAGCACCCCGAGGCCGTCGTGTTTGCAAACTCCTCCTCTTCTAACGCCCATCGGTGCCGTTAGACGGCGCTGCCTACGTTGAGAGGCTAAAGACCCTCTATCCTGGGAAAAGTGGCGCCATTCATTGTTGTGGAAATGCTCGAGACACGTGCCGTGCGCCACCTCTGGGAAGAACTGGAAGAACCTTCGTCTGAAATCTAGCTCAGTGCTGCGCTGTGCCGCCATGATCTTCCCGAGTGCTGCACGTGCCTCGTGCCTCGACGCACCTTGCGCTACTTTTCAAACATGAAAGGGCTTTATGAGAGGCGTCTCGGAGTCCTCCCTTTCAAAAATGTAACTCGTTCCGGTTGCCGTGCTGGCTTTTTTCGACGCTTGTTCCTGTAACGCCGTTTATGACGGGCGTATCGTCTTATCGCACTGCGCCTTTTTCACCGCGATTTCCGTCATTCGTGTCTTATCTTTTAGCGACACTAAAGCGCGTTATTGGGGGAATATTAGCCTACGTAATCTGGCTGTTTATCATTCAGCGAAACAAGAGCGTTAGCTATTTTGACGCAATATCTTGGCACAGGTGTTGTCTGTCAGCTGGGATGGGATTTGCCGCGATCTGATAGCCATTTTGTTCTTAGCCCGAGACTGAGGCATGAAAAGAGTAAAGTTTCAAAGTAGAAGAAAAATGAACTGTCGAGGACACGTCTCTAAGAAACAAAATGGTTAACATCCACCAGCTCGCCTGCGCAATCACTACATTATCATTGATTATACCTGAAGCAGGCTTGATTCCCTTCTCTAAGAACAAAATGGTTAACATCCACCAGCTCGCCTGCGCAATCACTACATTATCTGATAGCCGTTGCTGGAATCCTGCATTCAGCATTACATTCACTGGTCTGACGTCAGGTTAATTGAGTCTGAAGTACGTGGGCGTGAGCATTCCGGAGCAGATGTTGGCTGGTCGTTTGAACGTATCGCGTTTCAAAACAGATGCCCCCCATTTTCTTTTTTTTTTTTTTTTTTTTTTTGCTGCACATTTGTACGTTTCAGCTTGCAAACATTTTGACGACGACCATTTCCGTGAACGCACGTTTCGCTAGAGATACATGCGTTTCGGTGAACAGAACGTGAATTTGCGGTGAACGTATATTCCGGTGCTTTGACAGCATATCTGGTGTAAGCAGCAAGCTCAGCCCGCAAAGTACTCGTTTTGGTCACTTATTGTGGTATTTATTTTACGCCAGCCAAATTCTTCAAACATGTTTCTTAGTTCATTATCACTATTGGACCTGAAATTCTGAGCCCCAAAGAAATCGTAATTCACTGATTGAAGCACCAATTAAATGGGTAGACCAAACCCACTGCATGACTTAGATTTTTAAATCGTGAAACGATTTTTTGCTTACTGTACATGACTAGTGCTTAACCCTTGATAGTCACGAAGCATGAAACATGCACCAGTTTTGTTTAAACTCTATACTTTGTTTCACTTTAAGTCCAGGGCAGCCGACGCTATGAGTTGAGATCAAACAGAGAACGTCAAAAGCGCACCATCATGGTGTTCGTCATGTTTCTGTGCGCGTTCAATCGCCGCTACCCCAGTCATAAACAAAAAGAGGCCTAGCAACTTGCGCTTTTGGCACAAGGCCTGATTGATTCTATCACCTCGTAGCGTCGGCTGCGTCGGGATTTAAGCTGAAACGAAGGATAATTATATTTCAATTGAAGAGTACGCTGGTTACATCGCTGTTATCTTTAGAACGTAAAACGTTACTGTTCCGTTATACACGAACTCAACTCTTCTACGTCAAGCCGCGGTGGTGGCACGCCAGACGCACTTCCGGTCTGGGGCGGTGTGCAGAAGTCGCCGTGCCAGACATGCATTCCTGTGTTCCTTTGGAAGAAACGAGACAAAAAACCTGCCTTCTCGTCAAAATGCTGCGATAAGGGCTGTACCAAGAGAGTTTGGAGAGGTTTGAAGATCAGTTTTCATGTGTTTTTGCCCCCTCCGTTCGTCCGAGGACGTGGATAGTAGCCGTGAAAGGGGCAAACGAGACGCTGTCGCGAGCTACGATTGCGTGTGAGCGCAACACTTTGTGGTCGCCAGATGTATTTGCTTTGTTCCAACATGAACGAGAGAAAACCGCCAAGTTGTCCGGACCACCCATGGGTTTAGTGCGTCTTCAAATTCACACGGCCGCCTGATCGTTCGAACTTTCGTCTGCTCTTTCAAACTTGGCTGCTTTTTGTCGTCAGCTGTTCAAACGATAGCGGCCCGTAAACCAAACGTTGACCCGGTAATTGCGATAAGAACTAAGTGCAGGCCTCAAAACACTTTTGAAGGTTGGTTGGGGTGAGTAGGCTAAGTGTAAACAGATACAAGAAGATGTTGATCATTGTTACCAGTGGCCATCACCGACTTGTAATGCCCGATTCTACTTGCGGTTTTCAGTATTGACGTCCACCACCGCAGCTACGGTTCACGCTTTTGCAGTCCGAGCGACGTCGCGACTGAAAATAGCGAGCAGAATTCATCGTGGGAGTCAGGGTTTAGCGCCCATTCTGCGGCGTCCACGTGAAATGAATCGCCTCACGTCACATTATTCACGAAAAGTTTTGCCTCGTTAGTTTTGCTGAAGCCGCTCAAGTAGTCAGACATTGTTAGGAGGACGTAGAATCAACAATTCCAACGCGAAAAAGAGCACGGGGACCCCCACCGACGCCGACAACAACGCAATTCAATGGTTTGTTTATGGGCGACGGCGGGCTTCTTGCCCACCATCCACCGCGCATGCGCGGCGCCGGTGGCGTCCGCTAGGGGCGCTCCGGTTTGTTTGTAAACATGAGTTGGTGTATATTTAGAGGCGCATAACTTCATAGCTATGACTTTATTCTCCAAATGCTTTACAGGAAAACAAATCTGAAGTTGTGACAGAAGACATTTATTTACGAAATTCTAGGCCACTGACGAGAAAGCTATTTTAAAATTATGTTCTACTCTAATATTGATCTAATTAAGTACTGAAAAAATGTTTGGTTTCTATCGCTATTTGCAATTATATAATAAGCTTTGGGCGGTAAAATTATATTTATATGGAAGCCAAAGTAACTATGTTAGTCTGAAAAACTGCAGAAAACTCGCACTTTTACAGAAAAAAAAAAAAAAGCGATCGTTGTTAGAGTTGTTGAGTTTTTATAACCTTACAAAGAGCGCATGTATACGAAAGCACCCATGAAAAGCGTCCACCAAACTTGTGCGGAACACTCGAAACATGTCTTATCTCGTGAGAGCGCTATCCTGGCGGCAGCGGAAGAACGTAGCGGTTGAACCGTGACGTAGCGCCGAGCAGGGGAAGCCGCTCACTCGAGGTCGGTCGAAAAGAACGGCTGGACCGGAGATAACACAGCACTTTTCCCAGTCGGGCGGTCTACACTTTTCGCCATCCCCTCGCACTACGGTGAACGGGTGGCTGCCGAGATCGTCAGGTATTGGACGGCTCATTCCATGGAGGTAGGAAGTTTCTGGAGGCGACAAGACGGCGCCAGAGGTGATGCCAGAAGCGTGGAGGGACACGCCCCCCAACGATGACCGAAACAGCTGTGGTTTTGGTCATCGACGGGGGGCGTGTCCCACCACACCTCTGGCTTCACCTCTGGCGGCGTCATGTCACCCCCAGACGCTTCCTACCCCCATGGCTCATTCAGTAGAAACATAAAATGGCTGCCAATTAAAGTCACCCAATCGTTGCCGTTTTGTACGAAAAAGTGTCAATAAGTGTTGTGGGAACCATACTTGGGTAGTAATTCAATTTCAGTACTTAAATTACTGTAGTTTAATTACTTTTCTTGGTAATTTGTAATTGCAATTAATTACTTTTCACGTATTAGTAATTGTAGTTAAACTGATTTTGAAGCAAAGTAATTATAATTGTAATTCAATTACATATTGAAAATAATTTACCCATGTACGGTGGGAACCTCCCCGCATCCCTATCCGCACGACCTGAATGCGAGAGCAGTCTGTGTGCCCTTGTGGCCCTCCCTCGCCCTTCTCGGGTGACCTGCCGCCGGCACACCCATCGGGAACGTTTATACTTGGGCGCGTCCGCCCGTCCGGAGTGCGAACCTACTGCCGTCAACCCGGGCGCGTCCATTCCCGCAGGCTACGTATACAGCCGGCCCCAAACAACGGCCGGGGGGCTCTCGCCGGGGGAGGGCCTCGTTCCAAGGAGCTCTATTCATTTTGAGGCTTTTCCCCTTGCCGGGCAGCGCGGAGTCCGACTGGCAATCTTGTCAATGAGGCAGCGCCGATATACTGCGGACTTCGTCGTGTGCAAAGCGTGTTGGCGTATTAAGTCAATAAACACGTCGTTCTACGGACCTACAGACATATTGTGTCTGTGAATCCGTGGAAAGCGCGGCGCGAGTGCAGCAAGCTGCACTCGCGTCACGCTTTTTACGGATATTTGCATGAAAACTCGGGCTACTTTAGCTATTTTGTTTTCCTTTTGAGCCAGCGTTCCTCATTGTGTTTTATTTATTTTTGATGGTTACGTTAAATCACATCAGCGACTGAAACAGGTGGGAATCTACGCGCCGTGGGACGCGGCTAGCTGAATTGCCCGATCGGAGTTTTGGCGTACTTTTCTCGCGTGATCCAAACGTCACTTCCGTATAAAAGTTCTTTTCGACGGCATCGGGTTACGCGAGAACTCTTGCTTTTAAACACTCGCGTGTTTTTTGTACTTCAACTAAGTTGTGCCCTGTGTACCACGTCCCTACCCCCGCACTTTTTTTTTATGATATCGAGTAAGAAAGCATGCATAAACGTGCACCAATTTTGATACGGGCTACCCAGGGTCGCATGACCGCTTTGCTATCCGTCAAGTTGTAGGTACTGCCTGCTTGCTTTTGCTTATTTACGTTATAACAAGCTGAGGATCAAGTTTATGTGGTTCATATCCGTTGGCTATAAAGCTATAAGCTATAAATCTTGAGAGCCCATACAGAGGAATACATCTTAGAGTCACTGCTGTCGATGAAACGGTCTGTCAACGAAACGTCGTGCGATGAACTGGTTGCACGCGATATCGCAGAAAATCTGAGGTCTGCGAGATCGCATCCCGCGTTCTCGAGGATGCCTTGTACGACAAGCTGTGCTCACCCCTTCGCGCCTTTATAGAGACCTTTTTTTCTGACTGTCAAGAGTCTCTGTTAAAAATCGTTTTTTCGCGCGGTTTCAACCTGGCGAGAGAACAAGTTGTGCGGACCTGTAACGAAATGGACCGCGCATAAACGGGCACCGACGCTTGGCTGTCACGGGTTACTTTGCTCCGTCACTCGCTTAACGGCGACGTCCCATCACTGCTTCCGTTCTTCGTTCCACGGGAGCCGGAACATCTTGCGCCCTTTATGACCCGCGTTAGAACAACGTACCGCGGAGCAGTGAACCATTTTTACCGCGAATACAGCGCGGCTACCACGCCTAGAAGGGCTCTCTATGCAGCTGAACGAACCACGATCGGCGCCGGACGAACTGGAAGCGGGAAGCCACGTGACGCTTCGTTTCGGATGACGAAAAACTTCCGGCTCAAACGCCGGTAACCTATTATTCAACCCAACGTAACGCAGGAAGGTTCTGGGGTTTTGTTCTATAGACTTCATTTCGTCTTAGGTTCGATCGCAGTTGAAGGCACAAACACAACTAAGGACACACATATTAAAAGCGCAAGTCACTGTGTTTTCCCTACACATTATCAGTTTAGCAATGGTCGAACACGTACAGAAACACACGAAACTCCATTGCACTTTTGACGCTGTTTGTTTGGTCCCACCTTGAGCGAGCGGCCGCCCCTGTTCAGGCTGTTCCATTGAGCACTATGTCACGAAGCAGCTCTTCAGCTGCCTTCAGGATAGTGCTTCTATTAGCTGATCGCACAGTTCGCGTGTTCCGTATAGGTGAACACTGTACGGCGCAGATGTGTATTGCGCATGCAGCGACAGTGCCGTCCCGCCTCGTGCCTCGGGTGGCCTTGGGAAGAACTGCGGTTCTTGGTTCCTGTGTATCGTTGTTGTGAGCCGTTCTTACAAGTGATATCTTTACTCTAGCGTAACGAGTTCGCGTACGCGATGTGTTAGGGCGTGCTGATCTGCCGTTGTAGACCGTTCCAATAATTGCCCTCTGCGCCCTGCCATATTTGTCTACTACTGAGCTGTGGAACATCTCCTGAGCATGCGCACTAGCTCTCTTCTATGGATGGGGTATTTGACGCCGCGGTGACTCTGCATTTTTATGCAAATTGATAAGCGCTAGAAAGGTGCATACGTAGTCAACCCTTCATTTTTGCTACCTGTATCAAGGACAGAGTCCTGAGAGCGCATTGAAAATTATGAATGAATCAGTGAAGAGGAGGGCGTGGATAAACGATCTTATTGTATGGTCCATTGACTAACTTTCGCCATTGTATAGTAATCTTTTTGAGGGGTGCTCCTCTGAAGTGCCCGTGTTATGGAGGTTTTGTCTGATAGCAGTCCTCCACTCGTTGTCTTTGCGTCAGTCGCGCTTCGTTCCGACGCATCTTATGGTGAATTCCACTGGTCGTTTCGGAGCACGCCGGGATCGACTTTTCTGGAGCGCGCCTATTTGACTGGGTGATCGGGATCGAGACGGGCGTGTTCCACTCGTCGTTTTGGACCAGATCCCACTACAGGTCTCGATCTGGATCCGAGAAAAGTCGCCCCGCCTATTTCGGCGGATTCGACCGGAAGCCAGCCTGGCCAGCCGTCGGCGCGCACACGTGACTTCCTTTCTCGCTGAGTGTATCGTCTCAAAAGAATTCGTAATGACCCCTCGCGTAATGCAAGCTCGCTTTACTACTGCTGCTGCTTGCTGACAGTTCGTCGTCAAGTTGTTCGAGCAGCTCCTCCAGCAGCATGCAGCAGCTCGAGCAGCAGCGACGACGAGGATTGCTCGCAATGTCCCGCATGAATTCGACTGCCTTTTCGGACCTCCGCAGAATCTAGGCCGAAAATCGAGACGTACTTGGGGCACCGTTCACGAGTATTCCGATAAAAAAGCAACTGAGCTACGCTAATACACATAGCTTATCGACACTATCTCTCACATCGTGATTAACTTCGCTCCTGCGTTGAACACGTTTTGTTAGCGCCGTGATTGCGAAAACATGTGCGTCGAGACCCGGGATCGCGGGAAGGATATTCCCGGGAATGCATCCGTCGAACCCGGAGGAGTGGATCGTGTTCCACAGGGGATCCGGGGGCGGAGCGACTCCGTTCGGATTTCGTGCTCCATCTCGAATCTGGTCTACTGGTCCCGGCACGCTCCGAAATGACCCGTGGAATTAGCAGTAGTTCAGGGTAGTTAGGTCTACAGTACCTCCAATACCTCCAGGATTGCTTCTTTTATGCTCGAATTACGACCAAATTAAGTTGTTTGTGTTCGCTTTTTTTTTTTTTTTTTTGTCGTGCCCGGCGTTGTGGAGTGATACGTAATATGCCTAAAGAGAACGGCCAGGCCAATTGCATCTCTTTGCTTTAACCGATCGTCCAGCTGTATTCACTCGCATAATTCTGATTCCTGGAGGACTAATGCCCGCCATCGGTTACAGCTTTCTCTGTAAGACGCTCTCGGCCCAGTACTTAAAGGCTGTAGGATTTCCTGTCAAGCCATACCATGTCCCGTTTTTTACGTTCCCAGCATAAAGCATAAAGGCTGGTTCAGAGATTGGCGTCTGAGTGGGGCCGTCTGCCTTACAACTCGTTGTGTTCCACTGCGCGGACCTGGGTTGCCGTAGCAACCGCCTTATCGTAAGCAATCGCTCATGCTTATAATCAGATGCCTGAACCATCCTTAATGGTTTATATAGGCTTGGTCCGGAATTAAGTATGCTACGTTTTGAACGAGATCTCCGTTTGATCCGTCCGAAGAGGCGTCATGGACGGCCCCTGGGGCGCGTACTGACCTTGAGCTGCCCCTGGTGGTGCATCATCTTGTTGCAGACAGGCGGCACGAAAAAGGTCTTGTTGGCCTCAACCCAGTCGTCCACGTTGTACTTGATGGCCGGCATCTTGAGACCGTCCCCGCCTTGACGGGAGACTTTTTGCCGCTTCTGCTGCTGGTATCGCAACAGGAGCCACTCTCGCGCGATGCGCGTCTGCTTGAAGACCCAGCCGGAACCTCGAGGTTGTGGCCGTGCCCTTGGTATCGGGCCGTCGTTTATAGCGGCCTCGGCAATCATGTTTTCGTGCTTCCGGAAGGCGGCAATTAAGCTGTTCGGGCGCGACTCCGGCAGACAGGTCGCTGGGACCTCGAAGACAACCGACGAGCCAAGGTCCATCTGGGACTTGTCTTATCGGTCGCCTCGGATGTGGGGGACGCGGGCGGGGCTACTGGAGGTGTCCGGCTGCGTGTCAGTTTGGGTTCCGTGCACGGCCGGGGGCGGCCAGTTGAGGCAGAAGTAATCAGGAAAACAGCCAGTCAGCTCGGGAACTGTGGCCTCCTGCAGAAGTCGTAGACGTCGACTCTTCGTCCTTGATTGAGAACCTGTAGTGAGATACGATTTCACTTTTTCTATTCCGGGTTTGTACCACCGCAGTTCGTAGGTGAAAGGTGCAGTAGCTAAATGGTTTCCCAATCGGGATGATTGAGCGTGTTGATGACTGCAGCACGCTTCCGTGGCTGAACTGCGGGTCAATCCGCCGATGCACCGAGTTTGTGACGAAAGGAAGAGAAAGTTTGACGATTGAACCGTGAACACTGAACGGAAAGGTGCTTGCTTGTCAGTTACGAAAACATCGGAAATAGGTGGGTGATTTAACCATCCTGTTTTCTGCATTCTGTGACCGCAATGGATTTTCTCAAACACTTGCGATAAAGAATTACGCTTGAAATCGATACTGTGAACTCTGACAGTTCCGTTCGTCGCAGCTGTAGTTATTCTTTATCGCCCATGGGGAATTTTCGTTAAAGAGTGATGGAATTGTATTCTCTATTTTAATGGGAAATTCTGCAAAGGCACACAGATGTTAAAATACTCATAAACTCTAGGTTAAGAGTTCAGGGAAAACTCCTCTACCTCTTTCCACCTTAGCAGAGCGAACGCTGGTTATTGGACCGCTCATTCGGTAGAAAGATGAAATGGCTGCCGATTAAGTCATCCAGTCACTGTCGAGTTAACCTCGTCACTTACGGCGAGACACGCTGTCACTCACTCCCCCCCTCGCCGCCGCGCACACAGCAGCAGATTCGAGACATCAGCCACCGCCGCCACTTCCGGGTTCTGGTAGGTTAATTCTCCTCCGGTGCCTTTATAAAGTGTTCGATAAGATCATCTCGACCAAAAGGCACGTCTCAGTGTCTTTTTTTTTTTTTTTTTCTTTTCACCAGAAGCACATTTCGTAAAAGAACTTTGAGAAAGCCCATATCTCCGAAAGTACATCTCCCGCAACTATTCTAAGAAATGCGCAGCTCCTAAAAAACCTTCCTAAAGCAGATCGACTGTGAGCAGATCTCCCAAAACATATCTTTCAACAACGCACCAGCTGCCGCTGTCAGTCGCGGCACACTTTCGGTGATCTTTTGCAATTTTTTTAATTCAGTTTTTTTTATTAACTTTTTAGTTGTTATTTTTCTCTCGGTTTCTGACTCTGAACTTTTCTTTTTATTGCACGTGCGTCCCGGACCGCACGTGTCTCCACCACCGGTCGCCATTAATAAAAAAAAAAAAAAACTAAAAAACTAAAATACATGTACAAGAAAGAAGAAAAAAAATCACCTGCTGCCATATGTCGATAACGCCGCAAACGACTCTGAACAAGCCAGGGTTCTCCGAAACTGCCACGGGGCTAGTGAGTGTGCGTAAAACAAAACAAACCCGTTAAAAAAAAACACTGCCTCTCCCTCTTCCCTTGATGGATGGATGGGGTAATAATGGTCGCCAGTCGCGGCTGCAGGTCAGGAAATAATATAATTTTGGCCTCGCGATTACGCGGCGGAATCGTAACATTTCGAAGGAAGATATGTTTTCTGTCCTTCGTGACACGATAAACAATGTCAAAAGTATAAGATGCAAATTCTTTCCACGTTAAAATCGTTGTAGAGCTCCTTTAAGGCAAAGTCATCCATTCGCGTAATTGTTGCATAAAATCCCGATGTATACAATAAAAATATCAAAGTTATTCTGATGACCCGAAGGAAAAATCCATCAATGTAACCCTGTTTGGCAGTCAATGTTTTCTAGTGGACCGCTGACTGTGCCTGACTGTACGTCAAGCATGTCTGATTGGCCAACAAGTTACTCTGACCGACAGACAAACTCCAGTCAGACTACATTTGTCGGCTTTCTGATGGTTTCCTGGTGGCAGTCGGCCACCGCGAAATGCCATCAAGATGTCTTGGCGGCGATTCTGATTGTACATCGATTGTCTCTGACTGTACGTCAAAAAGCTTTGACGTGCAGACAGACGTACGGTCAAAGGACGTAAAGTTCGTTCGGATACCACTATTTCGTCAAATCTATGAATACGAAAAATAATCTATGCACAAGAAAACGATTTCGGGACGTGAGCCCATAAAACCGCTGATGTTAGAGATATGACACGCAGCCGACCGACAACCTTGATCAGAAGCCCGCCGAAACGCCGCCGAACACGCCACTTCGCTTCGCCCATAGAGGCTTCGCTGCTTCGCCGAGCTTTCATGAACGATCGCTCTCGACTCGTTTTGTTTGCCCGCTTGCTCCAACCTGTCGATCCTGCCCGGGCTCTACAATGTCTTTCGTTTTAGTAGAATTTCTACTCGACAAGACCCAGCCTGTTGTGAGTTCCGACGATGTAAGGGACTTTAGCGGTGCAGTTGAAGACGACAAGGTGTACCAGGTCTACTGGGCCGGAGACGCGCGAACAAAAGGATCGTTCTACGACGCGCAAGTACTCCACATGGCAGGTGAGTAGAACTGAAGTACGGCGAGTGATGTACGAGTGCTTTGCATAACATGCTGAAGGCTTAACTGCGTTTGCAGCCGAAGCATCTCGTATACACCAACTCATGTTTACAAACAAACCGGAGCGCCCCTAGCGGACGCCACCGGCGCCGCGTATGCGCGATGGGGGTGTGGGCAAAAAGCTCGCCGTCGCCCATAAACAAACCATTGAAATGCGATGTTGTCGGCGTCGGTGTGAGTCCCCCTGCCCTTTTCCCGTTCGAATTGTTGATTCTACGTCTTCCTGGCGATCTCTGACTACTTGAGCGGTGTTAGCGAAATTACCGAGGCTCGTTACACCGCGAAACTTCGCGTGAATAATGTGACATGTGGCGATTCATTCCGCGTGGACACCGCAGTATGTACGATAAAACCTGATTCGCATGATGAGATTTCGCTCGCAATTTTCAGTCGCGACGCCGCTCGGGCTGCAAAAGCTTGTACCGTAGCTGAGATAGTCGACGTCGATACTGAAAATCGCAAGTAGAATCGGACTAAGTCAATTAGGCATAGCAAGTCAGTGATGGTCACTTGTTACAATGATCATCTCCTTGTATTTACTGTTTACATCGAGCCTACTTACCAACCTTCACGCTTAAGTCTTTTGAGGCCTGCACTTACTTCGTATAGCAAGTACCGGGCCAACATTTAATCTACGGCCGGCGTCGTCTAAGAGAGCAGACGACAAGCAGAAACGTTTGAAAGAGCAGACGACAGTTCGAACGATCAGGCGGCCGTTTGAGCTTGAAGACGCACTGAACGTAGTCCACAGGTTGTCAGCACAACTTGACAGTTTTCTGGCGTTCATGTTGGAACAAAACAAATAAATCTGATGACCACAAGTATCCGTGAATTCAACCCAAAGTGCTTCCCGCCCAAGCAATCGTTGTCCGACGGCGTCTGCTTTTCCCTTTTCACGGTTTTTGTCTGGTTCCTTTCAAAACAACGCAGGAATACACGTCTGGCATGGGGACTTCTGCCCACAGCCCCAGACCGGAAGTGCGACCGACGCGCCACCACCGCGCCGTGACGTCACAGAGATGAGTTGGTGTATAAAACAAATGGTCAAATCGACTTTCCGAAGCGATGGCATAGCATAGGGGTTAAGGTGTCCGATTTGTACGCAAGTGGTCGCGGGTTCGATCCGCGGTAATCCTGCTTTTTTTTTTTCTTTTTTTTTTCTCGAACATTTTGTTTTATTGAGGCATTTGGCGATATTTATGAGTGCGTATAGCTTTACTCTTATATAAATGCTGCCCTTGTTGATGAAATTCCCTTGGCAGTGGCAGTCAGACGTCATCTGATGGACCATCAGATAACGTCTGATGGTCCCTCACGTTCCACCAAGGCTGCTGACTGGCAGTCAGTGTCCCAAATTACGTATCTTGATGGAATTTTCAATAGGGGAGCATTATTGAAATCAATTTGAACCCTCAAAAGAGGTGACACAGATGATGTAGAGGGGTAAAAAGTCGATTTGTTCCTAATGGTTCGGGGTGGAACATGGAAGTCAATAGACTGCAACAAGTCCGTCGTGTTTACCTCACCATGGACAACTTTGTGTAAAAACATAAAATCTCGGTACTGTCTTCTCCATCAATCTATGCTATAGAAACCTGTGAAGCAATGATTCGTAGTGGTAAAAACACCCTTTTACAATATACCTGTCATACACAATTCTAATCATTCGCTTTTGTACATTTGCAATCGTGATAGCTTGCGAAATAGTCAGTGAATTCCAAACCACCGAAACAAATTCTAACCGTGATTTAACGAGAGACTTATACAAATGCAGTAAACATGAAAGTGCAGAAAATTGGCGACATAAACGTGAAATCATGCCTAATACTCTTAGTGCTGTATTTACGGTTGTAACAGCTACATGATTATTAAAAAAAAGTGCGCTCTCAAGACAGACGCCAAGATCTCTAATAAACGATATGGGGGTAATTGGGACGCCACCAACAGTGTATACGCAAAGGAAATTCTGTCGTGCTTGCTAGATACCACAATAGGTGAGCGGCGTTTGGCAACTTCCGGTTCCTTAGAAAATTTTGTTCCACTTTTGACAAACGACGACAATGAGCTGCGAGCCTGCGCAAGCGTATTTCTGAAACCTCCAGACTGTAGTTTTCAGGACCATGCTTAGACAGGCTTGCAGATCGTCGTCATCGGTTGTTAACAGCTAAACAAAATTTCCTAAAGAACCGGAAGTTGCCAAACGCCGCTCACCTATTGATCTAGTTTTTTGTGGGTTCAGTGACAGACAGTTTTCTGTACACCATTACACCATATAATATAGAAACAATGTCATTTATAAACAAACTAAATAACATCGGTCCTAGAATATAGCCATGTGGCACACCTGACCTCAAAATAAACTCATCGTAGTAGCTACCGGAAACACGAATCGAATTGTGCGGCGATGTCCGAGATAGATGAGACGGGTGATGTCACAGGGTCGCCGTTCTGCCACTGCGATGTCCCTGCACTACGTGAAGAACTGCGCAGAAGGTCCACCTTTGTGATAGTGGCACCCTCTGCTGCGTTTGATTTGATTGCC